AAAAATTATTTTATTTATTTTTAAAAAAAATAAAAATAATTATTTTTTATTTTTTTCGAGCTCGCTCGAATCAAGTCAAGCTCGAGCTCGAACTTGAAATTGTCGGCTCGTCGAGCTCGAGCTTGAGTTCGAGTTCGAGTTCACTAAAATTATGTCAAGGCTCGGCTCGATTAGGCCAAAATTCGACTCGACTCGGCTCGTTTGCAGCCCTAACTATTAGATAGATAGCTACATGAATAATTAGCATAACAAAGGCAGTATTCATGTAGCCTTCCATGTTGACAGAGGTGGAGTATCAGAGGTTTTCCAAGTATTAAGGCCGGGCCATGACTATCACCCTTGACTCCAGCTGAAGCAGTGGATTCCAGTTCAGCCATATCTTCCGCAGACAGTTTTACAGATAAAGCTCCTGTATTCTGATTCAGGTTTTCAATCTTGGTAGTGCCAGGTATGGGACAAACATCGTTTCCCTGATGATGCACCCAGGCCAATGCAAGCTGTGATGGGGTACAACCCCTCTTTGAAGCAATGTCATTGACGCTCGTACATGTTCTTGTTATGCTACAATCATGCAACAAGAGTAGTAATTAGTAAAAATAACATTGAAAATGTACCTAGGGTTATAGAATTCCTATCTATTCTTGCAAGTGAAAATTACTAGTTAAATGAAGTTGATTATCTTAGCTAAGTCATGGTTAATTTTCTAATATACATGATACTCGCTTTCACCTATGTACCAATGATACATGTAACTATCTCTCACCTATGTTTTGTGATGAAAAAACTAGCTATAAACTCATTAAATTCTATAAAATTATTTGGTTAAAGTTATAAAGGTGTTTCCCTACTTTCACGAGAATACACAAGTTTAACACTTCCATGAACTAGTATTGGATCACAATTTTCATTGATGAAATAGCACTTTTAAATAATTACAATTAATGGTGCCAACTTAAATATAATTATAATAACAAAAGTGCTAAATAACTTGAATAAGACATAATTCAAATAACCATGAAAACATCACATAACAAGCATAGATAGTTCATCTACATTCCTAGGCATAAAACTAGCAAAACATAAAAGATATAAAAACTAGATCCAAACTTATATTATAACCAAATATTATAATCAATATAAGAAATAAAGTGCTTGGAGAGAAGTCACCCTTATCACTTGAGCTCGTAACTATCCATTTTCAATCCTTAATCTTCATCCTTGCTTAGCATGATACAAGATGGAATAATCTACTAAACTATACTAACTAATGAACTAAGAAGTTTTAGTAAAGACCACACTTTTGTAGTAGTTTCTCTAGGCTCCAAAGTTACAAGAAATGTTCACAAAAGACCCTATTTATAGAAGATTAAAGCTCCCACACAACTTGTTAATTTTGTTCCAAATTGCTTATTGAAATCATCAAAAGTTCTTGAAATCTTCAAGATTTCTTAAGCAACACAGTCGAAATATGATCAGAAAAATGGTCTAAAAAGCTATGTGAACAAGTTGTAAGTTACAGAACAACTTGCACAGCCACAATATGAATATGCAGATGAGGTCACTTTTTGATCTGTGTTTTTTCTACAGCAGGTTTGCACTTTTTTGATGAATCTTGAAAATTGTCCTGTTTTTGCACTAAGTTTAACTACAAATTTCTCAATAATGGAAGCTGAACTAACTCTAGCACAAAACATAAAATTTGTTTGAGTTAGCTTTCCAGTGCATTAAGAATCATGTCATTTGGAACTCTGGAGGCTAAGAAATGAGAAAAATAACCCTGACTAGTTAGCAGTCTTTTCCAGATCTTGGCAGCAGAAATGCATCTCTGTATTTTGACTTTTTGACCCTTGAAATGAGCGAATTCGACTTTGATGTCTAATAAGAAATATAGCCTTGGATCTTATATTTACAATGCTTCTAGAATCATCTCAATTCATCATTTATAGTTCAAGTTATAGTTGAAATAGCACAATGTGTCAGGGCTGTCAATCTTTTCTTTTTGGCCATGTGATTGCATTTCATCATTTGAATATTTTGAACTTCATGTCATCTCAAATCACTTCAAATAATCAAGAATCATGCAAATATCTTTTCACTTTAGTCCATTTGATGATTGCAATATTAAATCCTACAAGAACATGAAGTTTTTACCACTTGAATCTATAGAAATATACCTTTTCTTACTTAAACCACAAAATGTAAAATTTACTAGAAATCTACTTATTTAGCTATAAAAATGACTAAAACACACCAAAATCTAAGTAATAAAATACATTAAAAATATACAAAATAAACATTTCTCATTAACCTAAGGGTGTGAGGATCCAAAAATGACCCAAAAATAAGAATGACAATGGGACAGTTTTGGGATGGAGGAGGGATCCCCGACGCCCGTCCTGTTGTCATATAACTCTTCCTGCCCCGTCTAGCTTTCCTCACCCCCACGGGTGTCGATAGGGGCACCTTTATTTTTTTTTTCTCTTAACACATTACAACATAACTCAGCTATTGTTCCAGGCTTGATAAAGAAATATGACAAGAAGTTGCAAAAACTTGATTCACCACAAGCTTTAGCCATTTAGTCAAAGATTTGCCAACCTGAATTGCAAGTATCATAATAAAAGTAGAAAATAGGAAATTAACATATTAACCACAAATTGAACTATAGGTTCAAAATATAATTGCATTATGCCTTTATAGTGAATTTGTCCCCTGTAAGTTCAAATAACAAGTATCATAATAAAAGTAGAAGACGGGAATTAACATACTAACCAAAAATTGAACTATATGTTAAAAATATAATTGCATCACACCTTTATAGTGCACTAGTAATGAAGCACATGCTTTGCATGTGAACATGATGCTTTTAGATTTTTTTCTTTAAAATTTTTAGAAAATCGATTATTTTGAAGGAATAAATGTAATCGAGACAAAAAATGTGATATATAATATTTATATTTTTTTATATTTTTTTATGAATTTAGTTTGCCCTAACCAATACAAATGCACAAGCAATAAATCATTCTTTGTTCCAAGAGCACTTTTATTTTGTAACAATATCAATATTTTTGTCTTTTGGTTAAATTTAGATGACCGCAATTTTCATTTTTATGACATTTGACCTAAATTTTCTTTTTTATGCCATTTGAGTTAAATTTTTTAATTTTTTTGAATAATTTGTTGCTCCACTTTAAGTCGTTTTATGAATTGTTTATTAGTTTTAGTGAGATTTTCTAATAATTATTATTTTTTGCTAACGATGTATTGTAAAATGATCTATAGTGCTATTGTAATTATAATTGTATTTAAATATATTGAAATTTCATTGTTCGAATTTGAATAGCTTAACTTTGAATAGAAATGTTTTGATTTGGTGGAACTTATTTGTATTTCTCACTGATGACATGCTTTATGATTATAGAGTTTATATGATTAAAAATTGTAAGATGTTAAGATTATTTATTATATAATAGTCAAACTGAATTTAGATATATTTTTATTCACCTTTGAAGTACTCCTTGAAATTGATAATTTTATAAAAAAAATATTTTTTGGCTTAACTCACCATAACTCATAGGGATGTTTCAGCTTTTTAATTATTATTATGATTGGCATTGATGAATATAATATTCATTAATTGTAGTTTAATATTGTTAGTTGTTACAAGAATATGATTGATAAAGTTCCTTAAATTTAATCTTTATTGCAATTTAAATAAATAAATTTCCAACATAAAACTCTTTGCCTACCTCGGTACTCCATTTCCTAATATATTTTTTATTAAATTTTTTTTTCACTCAATACTAATATACGCATATTAAAAAGGTGCTCTGAAGACTTAATTTACTTGTATCCAAAAAATAAAAGGACTTGTGGTACTTTTTAAGAGACTCATAGTATCAATTTATTATATTTTGTTTCATGTTAGAAGTACTCTCTAAACTTGGATTTTGTAAAAAAAAAAAAAAAAAAAAAATTGTTCTTCTTTCTTTTAGTAAATAAAAAGTAAGGAATATTTCATTTTTGTAACTGCTAGCATGTTTGATAGTATTTATTAATGATGAAATGCAATGCAATTTGTCCATTTATTAGAGAGGAGTGTAATTTTGGCATTGCAAAAACTAATATCATTTTTTGCTTATATTATTAATAACTAAGATTCACCATATATTTTTTTATAATTTATAAATAAAATTGGTTCATCTTTTTTTGATTTCATTCACTATAACTCAAGGGATGTTTTTCATTATTGTAATTGTTGGCATAATTGATATTAATTATTGACAGAATATAATGAATTGGTTGTTCTTTTTTTGGTTTAATTCACCAGAATCAAGGATACTAAAGACTCATCATGCTTTCTAGATAATAACAGATTTATCCCATGTAAGTTCAAAAAGCAAGTATCGTAATTAAAGTAGAAAATAGGAAATTAACATGCTAACCACAAATTGAACTGTTGGTTCAAGTTACAACTGCATCGCACCTTTATAGTGAAGTTATCCCCTGTAAGTTGAAATAGTTGTGATGCCTAGTAAGTGATTTTGCACAAAAATTATTTGGGCCAGCCCTTGAGTCCACTATTATATTACATCCATAACACTGTTGTACCTCATGATTACTGCAAAACTCAAAAACTCAGGACATGCACCTGTCCCTTGCGGACTCGGGGCACGGACGGTTGCACCGTCCCGGACGGTTTTGGCCATTTTCAACTGCGCGTAACTTTCTTTGTACATCGTGTAACTTTTATTGCACATCGCGTAACTTTAGAATAAATTTTTGTGGGACCCACACATGGCGTGAAAATCGAGTTACAACTTGTAATTTCAGCCGCACAAATTTTTGAGGCCAGATCGTGGCCATTAACCGTTCAGGACGGTCATACTGCTGACCGTCCCTGCCTCATTTCCCTTGCGCCCTGTGATTACTCCACAAGACGTTAAACAGCTAAACCAAAACAAAAGTTCACGAAATAAATATATAGAACCAAACTTGCACTCATGTGCTCTTCCAAGCTAAAACCTGAACAAAAGTCCACGAAATATCAAAGCGAACTTGCTCTTCTTCATGTGCACTTCCAGGTTGACAAAGGTGGAGTTTCAGAATTTCGCCAAGTGCTAATTTCAGGCCCGTATCTCTCACCCTTGACTCCAGCCGACGCAATAGATTCGAGTTCCGCCTTATCCTCTGCGGACAGTTTTACAGACAAAGCTCCAATATTCTGATTGAGGTTCTCAATCTTGGTAGTACCGGGTATGGGGCAAACATCATTGCCTTGGTGATGGACCCAGGCCAATGCTAGCTGTGATGGAGTACAACCCTTCCTTGAAGCAATGGCATTGACCCGCTCATACAACTTCTTGTTGTGCTCCAAATTATCCGCTTGAAACCTTGGCATATTCTGCATTGAATGAATGTCAAAATTTAAGCAACTAGAATGCCAGAAATTCAAAAAAGGAATAAAGCATGTGTCATCAACAAATGAAGACAATATGATCATCGATAGTACTGTTTGAGCCGTAGAAAGTTCAGGGGAAAGAACAATCCAGTAAGGTGGATTGAGTACTCCAAGAAACATCAATTGCAGAAGGTAGATCCTGAGATACATTTCCCATTAAAGAGGAAACTCAAAATGGAAATCCAATACATTTTCATACTATCTAGACAGTATTATCAAGTGAACTTGTGACCAACCAAACTCAGTTAGAGGATGTATAGAAAAAGGGAAAAAAAAAAAAAAACAATTTGAGAGGACAGTATATAACTTTTGTCCCTAAGACCAGACGATGACATTGCAATGTGAGTCCGTTTCCCCTCAAAATTGTAAAGAGACTATTACTAAAAAATGCCATAGTTTCTTCCTTTTTTCATGTCTAGGATGTTCTTGCACCATGAAATAGAACACTCCCACTGCTTGCGCTATCTTCAAATTCGAACTAAATACAGAGCTCACAATTACTATCCTGTCTGTGCAGAAGGTTCAGTTTCTAACAATGCCAAGAACTGCATTTAATGGAATCCAAGACTACAAGACTTTTCAGATAGAAAAAAGCTTGTTATGTCACTCTGTTGGATAGAAGTTAATTAAATTAGATAGTTTTAGAAAAGCCCAACCAAATTATTGGACATCAAATAGTGCAGCAACATGTAACAGATAGACAAGAATAGGGATATTAAGCAACATAGATGACTGAGGATTTCATACTAACTATAAATATACTACACTAGATATTACTAATCTTTTTGGACATTCACAAACCTTTCTGTAGTCACCTTCAGTCAAGTTCTCGATCAGCTTTGGACCTGAAGAGAAGAATCCTTGTCCAAGTGGACTGTATGCAACAATCCCTATGCCAAGCTCTCTAAAAGATTACACCAAAATGAACTTAGAACTTCATATTTCTTCCAGACCATGTAGAAAATGAAGCAGAATAAATGCACTACCTGCAAGTGGGAATGATCTCTTCCTCGACATCTCTGCTCCACAATGACCACTCCAACTGTATAGCTGTTATTGGATGAACAGCATGTGCTCTTCTAATTGTTGAAGCTGAGGCCTCGGATAGACCTATATACTTTATTTTACCCTCTTCAACCAGTTTCTTAAGTTCTCCTATCTGGGAGAAACGGACAAGAAAATTCCAAGCTGATTTATTATATTCCATACTAAGGTATATAATCGAAATTATACATGCATAAACTAAAAGTAGTACTCGTTCAGTGCAGTGGCACAACTTTGACATAAGTACACATCAAACTGAAAGCACCATCTGATAAAAATGGCAACAAACAGTCAATAACACTTATCTAGACACCTTGTTACCTAACTCTATTGCACCATGCATAATATGATGCAAGGCCAATATCTTTTTTTTTTTTAATATCTTCTAACAGGAAAAGGGTGGAATTTAAGAAGCAGAGAGGAAGGAAGGGGGATTAGAACCCAAAATTTCTAAATCTTGAGGCCTCAACCTGAGCCACTAGACCAAGGCCTTCTTGGCCAATATCATTTATATGACATTGTTGACTTCTTCTAAACAAAATAACAGCTGTACATATGAAAATTGGACGCCAACAATTTTTCTTGATTTTATTCATACTACCTGTATTTTGAGTAATCATACTGTAAGAAAATTTCTTCCTGCTATTCAGGAAAAGTAAAATATTCTCTGCTGACTGCACTAAAAAGACCACACACAAATCGTTCTACAAAATGTTCAGTGTAATAACAAATGAGCATCATGTACTTAAGATATCAAATAATGAAAAGAAGTGATAAGGTGGATAAATAGCATATCTATACTGAATCAGATAGCCTATCTCAAATGAAAGACAGAATGCACAGGTCTTCTGGTTCTAAAGGAAAGGTGTACAATCTATAGTATAATATCCAGCTGTATCTCTCTCAGGGCCTCAGCAGGGCTGTCAAGCTATTATAAGACAACTATTTTGGATGTTTGTAATTTTTGGGATGGCCGCTGCTATCAGCTTTATGATTGTGCAAATTAGCATAGACCATAAGGGCAACAAACATTTTTCTGCAATTTTTGAAGCAATTGCAAAAGACATGGAACTCAATTATTCTCCTCAAATTTCAACTACTTTGATCAAACTCTCATTTCATCAAGAATGAGGTGTAGCTTAAATTCAGGAAAGGAAACAAGGAGCAAACCGTGATTTCAATGGGCACACGTGTATCAATGCGATGCTGATAATAGAGATCAATGCAGTCCACACCAAGCCGCTTCAAGCTGGCCTCACACGCTGCTCTCACATAGGCTGGATCACCACGTATATTAAAATTCCCATCCTCAAAAGTCACTGCAAATTTTGTTGCTAGCTCCACTTTCTCCCTCATTCCTTCCATCAATGCCTAAAAGCATGCTTTCATAACATCAATCATTGAGAACATACACATTATTGCATGTTATAGCAAGTTGATTTATGATCCATGCGTGGCACAATCTGTCTGAATTTTCCCATCCTTAAGACTATGCTACTTCTTCCTATTGAACAGAAACGAAAGATGTTAGCATCAATTGGACTCTGTGTACATTGTCCACCTACTATAAGCACTAGAATTTACATCTTGAAATCTTATATATAATTTTAATTAATATACAATTTCATATCATTATATAACTTGGTAACTATTGCAAATACTAAATTACAAGAAACAGCATCTTCTCATAAAAAAATGTAACACCAAAAATTGCGTATTTATAGTAAATATTTAGTTATATGAAAAATCTACAAGTCAACACATTGTAAATATAAACTAATATTATTACTTCCCTGAACAAAGGTCTTGACTTCGCCACTAGATGGAAGTGTAACTCCGTCCACATTTGGATGGAAATGAAACTTAAGGAAAACAGCCAACCATGTTCCTTCCTTCCTTTCCATTATCTCCTCTCCTCTCCTCTCCTCAAAATGTCAGTCCAAATACATCTTTTCTTGGTTAATATTCGAATAGAATAAAGATTTCCTTTTTATGCAATAACACTGTAGTAATTTTTATATAGTAGTAATTATGGATGTATGTCACACATATACGAGATTTGAATTTCAAATTTAAATTCATGTTATGTGACATGATTTAAATCTACTAGTGTAAAAATATTGCACATTGACAGTGTATAAAAAATTTACTCACATAATAATGATAAATGGACTTCAGGCTCTGACAAACAAAATTAAGGGGGACAAAATAATTCAAGCTTTAAATTGCCGGGGATTAAATGTGATTTACCTGAATATAAATTTACAAATCCGAGTGACTACTTTTCAAAGTCAAAGAACAAGATTGGTTCAAGTTTTTAATTAAGGTATTAAAGGGGGTTAAGTATAATTTACCTGAATATAAAGCTACAAATCTACTCAACTACTTCTCTTCAAAACTAAAAGTACACGAGTTCCTGCACACTGCACAACTGCGGAAAACATGCAAATATGATTAAAGTTACCTTGCCTATCAGGATTTCATTGGTGTGGGGTCCATAGACATCTGAGGTGTCAAGATGGGTGATACCTCTGCTAATAGCATAGTGAATAAGTTTGATCATGTCGGGCTCGGGCTTAGGCGGCCCATAGACGCCTGACATGCCCATGCAGCCCAGCCCTTGAGCTGAAACTTCAAAGCCTTGTGAGCCCAGCTTGATTCTTGGCACTCTCACTTCTTCTGCCACTGACGATGCCATTTTCAGACAAAAACCAGACACGCAGGAAACAGTGCTTGAGGAGCAGAGGAAGAGTACTATTGGAATTGGAATATATCCACAAACACACCTTAAAGGCTTAAACAAGAAACATTTCAGATCCTAAGCTCTGCTATTTATTGACCCTTCTGGTGATAAAGTAGTATATTTGATTCTACTTCACCAAGTCAATTCTTAGGAAATATCGAATCAAACCATTTGTCATTATTTCAACAAAAGAAGCACGGGCTTCTTTGCTAGAACATATTTGGACGGTATTAAATATATGACAAAGTTACCTAATATTGTAATCATCATCGATCAGCACAAAGAATATGCGGCACTAGGAGAGTGTATTACTTTGAAAATTTCAACAATTTGTTTAATCAATACAAATTGCAAAAACAAAATACCCCTTTTGGCTAGGTGTAGTCTGTTGGATATAGATCTAAATTTTCAATTTTTTTGACTCCTTAGCGGTAGCGGTATCAAAATGCGGCTATGTGTCACCAGTGTGTAGGAGGAGCCAACCTTCATTTTCAAATGTGAAAGGTTGAAAAATTCTACGTTTTAATTGTGATAGGAAATAGAAAGTGAAGTAGTTGTGTACAAATTGTATTTTCTCAAACAATAACTAGGACAAGATAAAATCCGTAGAATAATCTACTGTTGAGACAAAGAAATAAGGGCAAATAACATTTTACGCCCCTATGATTTAGTATTTTTGTACATAACCCTCCTATAATTTCAAAAACTATACATAACATTCTCGTGATTTAGATTAAAGTATCAAAGTAACGAAAATGATCATGGTAATGAAACCTTTGAAAATATCAAAATTACCCTTGTTTAAAAATTAAAATGACTGAAGTGACTCAAATATATAAATATAATATACATGATGCACTAATATTGTATGGTTTTATATTTTATCATATAACCCCCTTATGGTTTAATACTTTACCATATAACCCCCTTATGGTTTTCAAAATATACACATAACCCTCCTGTTGTTAATAAATAATTTTCAACTTTATATAGGGGTATTTTTCATGATAGGGTGTAAATTGTTGGTTATTTTATTATTAATTTCTCCTTTTATTCCCGCCAAATATTGTTTTAACTATTAATATCTACTTATATTTGGTATCTGGAATTAAGTTCAGAAATTGGAGTAGAAAACTACAAAAAAGGAAGACCTTCTGAAGCAAATTACTTTACAAGTGGGAGTCTTCTACAAAGCTCCCTCAACGTGGCCCACAAGAGAGGAAACAAAAGGATTTCCCTTTTCCCCTTTTTGAGCTGATGAAGAGAGGGCTACGAGAGTCCTAGGAGCCGAAGGAAATAAGAAAGAAATTCGGAGAGCCCCATCCCTTGTATTCCTCTTTTGCTTTCAATTTCGGTGGGGACCACGGAGAATAGGGGAGGCATTAGTCATCTTTGGCTTTAAAAAAGAAACGGACGTACAGAGAGCTCTTATCAATAGTTTTAGCATAGCTTTAGTCTTAGTTTTTCTTTCTTTTTCCTTTTTCACACGCACGAGGTGCTCGACAATATTCTCCGATGGGAAAAATTTCTTTTACTTCTTGCTCTCTAGTGAAAAACGTGATACCTTTGCAATCAATTAATTTGCGTGGAGATTTATTTATGCGGCGTGGCTAAGCCTTTTATCTAGTCAAGGATCAATTCGACGGCGCAGTCCCGAATATCTGTGAGATCTAATTAGTTTTCACGCGTTCTTTAATTTGTTAATATTTGCACGTTGTCTGTTTGAATTTTCATGGGATTATTTTGTTAATTGGATGTCAAGGGCCCGATGTTCAATGTGACTTATTAATCTCTTGCCAATTTAGTCAATTAAATCCGTAATTATTTGATTGATTAATATTAGTGGCAACTGGCGTGTTTACACACTAGGGGAACGTGCAATCTAATTTAAGTAACTCTCGTAGCGTGTTATTGATTAGGGTTAGGTTTTTCTAGTTCTTAATGCAATTGGGAAATTAATTCCTACGGTCGTACCTAGGAGTATTTTCTGGTTAGGGGTAATCAATGGTCGTACCTTGGTTATCAATAAATTAAGGAAAAATTTGTCGTTAGATTTCATCGGCGACTATAACTAGCCTATTAATAAATTAAGTGAACCTCTCTTGCATCAATGATCGGATAAATGGACTGTGTCTGAGTAGTTGTATCCTTGGCTAGAATTTATCTATTCTTGATTTAATTCCTGCTATATTTGTGCTAGTTAATTATTTATTTTTAGTTGAATTGCTTAATTGTTTTTAGTTTCGTTCCGATAAAATCCCCCTTTACCAATTGGAATTTCAAAGAGACAAATATCCCCAGTCCCTGAGGAGACGACCCTACTTGCCACTGTCTACTGTTTAGTAATTTTTGTTAACTAATTAATTCTGGTATATCGAATTAAGCAAACTCTTCGGGAACAGAGTGAATCAAGTAACCCATTGCACACCTAGAGTCCCTGCTCCAGTACCTAGGATTAATTATTGACTACTTTTAGTGGTAGTTAGGTTCTATTTTTATTATTGCACTGGCTCGACACCTGTCATTTAATATTTTAGGTGACTCCGTTATGGATTACAAATTCTGTTACTTTAACACTTTGATCCAAACTATGAGAGGATTATGTATAATTTTTGAAACTATAAGGGGTTATGTACAAAAATACTGAACTACATGGAGTAAAGTGTAATTTGCTCAAGAAATAATATAAGTCAATTCAAACAAGTGGAAAAGTAGTTGGCATCTATTTCCTTTGCAACATTTGATTGGGACTTGGATGACGTGAGTGCAAAGGTGAGCAATTTCCTGACGGACTCAACTCGATAAACAAACATTTAAACTCAATCACAGCTCTAATTGCCTTCAACACTGAAGGGACTGAAGGGATTTAATTCCATGCAACCAACACACAATAGACATAATAACACTTACATAGACTAACCAATGACAGCATAACATAACATGTAGACCACCACTTAATTAATAATACTAAAACATAAAGGCTCTATTTAACTTCCTACATTTCCTATATACTAGTTTTTTTCAGCCTCACGCGATGCGTGAGGTTGCCCTGGATCTATGTTAAAGAAGATCAAATGAAGGCAAGTGAATTAATATAAAATGGTTATATATTAAATACATGATGGGTGCTAGTAACTATGGGGAATTTGACTTTAGGTAAATTGGTTATTATCGTTATTTGTTTACTCAATTTATTTATGATGCTGAAGAGATTTTTGTACCTACTGGACTTGGACTACTAATTGACTTAACGTGAGATATCGATACGATATATTAGTATTGATATATTAGTATTTCATAACTGCAAAATTATCAACGATCTAACAGTCAATGCAACGAGATTTTTTTTGCTAGAACAATAAAGATAAACTAACTGTAATAGGTTGTTACATGGTCCAAATTGGGCAAGCCAGTAAATTCCATAATAATCTTACTCTGAAATTAATGGCCTTAGAGAGTAGCCAGTAATTTTAATTCAACAAGACAAGACATCAAGACATAATTGCATAAGAGCAAACTTGATCCTACATGCGAGTATTATGAATTTGTGCATACAAGTGATGCTGGACCGGAGATATGCTTACCTTTAATTTAGAGCAGATAAAAAATGAATGATCAACAATTACCTAATCAACCAAGAAAAAGATCATTAATTGGATGGGATCTCTTGTCGTTTTACTTTCAATCTCTACTTTCACCATGCCATAGAAGTGATTAACTTGTGCTAGGTTAAACAAGTACAACTGACAGATATAATTTTGTAAAATACAGGATGACATCACTTGGTCTAAGTAAATATACCCAACAAAGACGATACACATTCATATCAAATGAAAGAAATTTGAAGGACAGATAGGCCTTTATTGAGGCCAAAACCGTACTTACAATGCGTAATCAATGCATTAGAAAAATCCCTGTAGATACCTCATATGCACTCAATTGTTCTGCAAATTCTTTCAAGTGGGACAAAAACATAAAAACTGATCACCAGAAAAACCATAATCATGCAGCAAGATGGCCATAGCAAGTCTAACAGTGGCTCCCATTTCACAACAGTTGAAACCTATAAAATTTCTCTAAAATTTTTAACACCCTTCGGTGAACCATTGCAATGATTTGAACAAACATTTGGACTCATTAGACCTCACATTATAAGGAAAAAAAGGGCCAAAAGGCAGAAATAAAGAAAGAGTTCAACTCGCAAAATTATGGAACCCGAAGCTTTTAATTGGAAGAAGAAATTGCTTTTGAGATGGCTTGCTCACAAGATCAGCTAGGTGAGAGTGCGAAAACTTCACCTTGTAAAACCATCAAATCCAGGTCTTCAATTGGAGAAAGAAACACATCCAATATGTTGCTTTTCAGATGGCTTTCTCTCAAGATTACATAGGCAAGAGAGCTTTGTGCGGCTCCCACAGACCGCTTCGGAGTTCGGACACCACCCACCGCCCACTCACCAGGGGAGCTGAAGCAACTACAACTATACAATGAAGATACAAATACACATCTGAACTCTGAAGCACAAACACAAAAGCCACCAAAGTTGACCAAACACACAACTGAAGCACGGATGCAAAAGCCATCGAAGTTGCCCATAATTTAGGCGGTGGATCTATTTTACAAATGGGGTAACAAACTCGTGTTTAAAATCCGAAAATATGTATTTATAGAATCAATTTTTCATGCTTGAAAGAAAAATTGGGACTACTGTAAAAGTTTAAAAATTATAATCCATTTCTTAAATTGCATATTTTTTTTATGAAGAAAGTTTATCCTTTTGCAAAAAAAAAAAAAAAATGTTTACACCCACGAGATTCCTTCATATTTTTGGTAACAAACTCATGTTTAAAATCCGAAAATATGTATTTATAGAATCATTTTTTCATGCTCGAAAGAAAAATTGGGACTCCTGTAAAAGTTTAAAAACTATAATCCATTTCTTAAATTGCATTTTTTTTATGAAGAAAGTT